ATTATTTACAAGGGTGACAAATGGGGAAACAAATGTGTAATGTATATTAAATTGACCAATAGCAAACATTAATGGAAATGAGCTCTGACACACTAAAGACTAGGCTGTCATCAAAATGTACAGGGGAGACTGCAAGCTCCCAAGAATCGACAATGAAAAGGATTACTTGCTTATAATAATCCTTGTACTTCATAGGCTTTAAAAAGTGCAGTAACTATTTTGTAGGTATTGAGGCAGCCAATTTGTGCACAGCAATGCGCACAAACAGCATTACCGTTCTGACGAAAGGTCATTGAACTGAAATGTTAACTCACTTTCCTCTCTCCATAGATGCTGCCTGACCTGCTGAGTGTTCCCAGCGACTTCTGTTTTTATTTCAGATTTCCAGCATCTGCAGTATTTTGTCTTTTGTTTATTGCTATATTCTGGCTGTTGACCTCTATTAAGGGGCAAATATTGACAGTAGGTAGAATGACTATACAAGGCAAAATGTTACTGATGTATTAGTTTCAGCCTGTACATGAGAAAATAAGTGCAGAGCAATGGTTGGGCCCTGAAGCTTTGAGTAAGCTTACACTGCATGGAAGCCATTCACTGACAGCAACAGAACGTGAGGGCCACCAAACTCCTTGTGTTAATTACTCTCATAATTAGTACCTCAAAGCAAGTCTAAATGAATCTGATTTCCAAAGCAACTACATTTAACACAAAGTTAAAAATTCATTTTTAAAATACTCATAAAACATGCATTATTCACAGCTACAGGGAAAAATAAACAGTAATTAAACTAAGCTTCTGGATTGTAACTGATGAAATTAGCCATGTGTGAAGAGAATTTAAACAAACTGGAGATTTCTGTCAACACTATTGGTGAAATCTCTCGGGTAGTTACCAAATTCAATATGGGATGAGATTTGTCTCATTACCTCAAGTAAACAGCTGCAAAACTTATTCAGGATGGAAAATGTGTTCCTTCTCCCCCTTTTAGGATGAACCAGCGATGTCTCAAGAGGTAGGAGTAAAAATAGTTACTTTGTTGATGGTGTGCAAGTTCACATTCATCTTTGTGTGCGTTGTGTGCTTACTGCTAACTTCACATATGCCACTAATAACAAATGTGCCTGTACTAAATGGCCAGAGTGAACGATTGTAAAAGGGAGAAACGATCAAAACAAAATACCAGTTCTGTCTTTAACTATCAATCATATCTACTCACCTTATCTATGAAAAAGTTTATTTTGAAAAGGAGCATCACCAGAAGGTCGCATTTCAGATGTGAAGGTGATAACTATTAAATGGCATACCAAGAAACAAAAGAATATGGGCCATTCTGTCCCCAACATCATCCCTCAGGACTGGTTGAGCTGTGACAGACAAGAACTTATAGACAAATTTCTCGCCAGACTTTCATAGAACTTGTAGCTGCTGAAGACATGAATTGGCTGTGACATGTGGGTGACTTCAGTCAAGTTATATGTCACACAAAAGCTATTTGGCTGACTTGACACTCTGGAAAAGTCAATGTCAAATCAACTGATCAAGAGTGTGGTACATGATATTTGTATGCTGTGTATTACATTGTGTATTATCTACCGGATTTTAGAACAGGACCTTCAAATTCATGTAGTTGCGTAGGAAAGAGTCTTGATAACAGCACAAACATCCAATTTTGTTTGAAGATCTTTATTCTTTGTTGGCAGATATTCACAATACATTTAGGTTTTTTTTAAAAAAACATGATAAGGGTAGTTTCCCATAAGTAATCAACAACACTGTCTATCATACATCCAGGCCACAGTTTCATAAGAGCTGTAAGTATAGAAAACAACTGGGTATTATACACCAAGATGGTGAAACAGCCTTATGGTGCAATAACTCTAAATAGTCTTGTGTTCACACTCAAAAACATCTTTTGTTCCTGCACGAAAACACTTTACAAACTTGGACAAAGTTTTAATATTGTGCACTAACACTAAATATTGGTCAAATATTAATAATTCACAAAGCATGCAGCTCATAAACATTCAAAAAAATTTCCAAAAACAAATTGGCCAGCATTGTAGTTTGCAAATTATCATTTTAAAAATTGGTATGATACATTCTTCAATTAGTCCCTCAGTCATTAAACCTCAATTCAAAACAAATTAACAAATGTAAGGAACAATTCAACAGTGAACTTTCAAGAGATATAGATAACATAGCCACCTTTTGAGCAGTAAATTAGTGGAGTCCTGTAGCTCAGTGGTTAGAGCACTCGCCTTGCAAGCGAGACAGCTGGGTTCAATTCCAAACAGGGCGAAACCTTGGGCAAGTTTCCTTACTCCACACGCCTAATAATACTCCCTCCAAAACAAAACAATAATTGGTCATTTTCAATCCACGACTGTTTGTGGGACACTGCTGTGCGCAATTGGCTGCCACATTTCGCCCACAAGTATACAGTCAATTCACTTTACAGTCTATTCTGTGAAGCGCTTTGAGATGTCGAGGAAATGTGAGCCAACTGGTAGACCAAGAAATGGGTCAAAATGCTGAAATATACATGCTACACAAAAAACTGCGAAGATTGCGAAACAATTGTTTTACTTTTTATATTAAAACAATGCACAATTTGATTGTATTTATTTAGGACTCTAAAAACTGCAATCTTTTCTAATTAATGAGTTACTATGTGCACAGGCATATTCTTGAATCCTATTTGTAGAGAGAGCATGAATACCTAGTCAAACACTGAAGTCATCCAATCATGACAGTTTTGTTCTAACTATGCACAAACACACAAGCCAAAGAGTAAGAAAACATGGGCAATTACTAGATTATGTGGTTTATAAGAAACTGTGTATGCATCTCTTTGAAGGAGGTATGTTTTGACTTGAAGACTAAATTCTGTTAACTGTAAGGGAAACAGCTTGCTGGTCCATAAGAAGTTTAGATTGGGAACAACTGCTGTTCTTATAGAAACAATAGTGACAGGTGAGGGATATATTTATTTGCTACTGCAATAATTGCTGGTCTAGACAATGTCACCATGACATCAGCATCAGCCCAGTTTTGAACCACATTAAAATGTCTAACAATTGCATCAATATTGGACTATAAGGAGAGGGATGGAAATGTATAAACATGCACTGTTATATATATCTGAACAGTATGATTTAAGTTATGCTGTGGTTTAGGCAAAAATGTTTGACATCAATAACTGTTATTGATTACATTTCAGCTTGAATTGGTCCTATGGTGTAAGTCTGACCATGTTTCATTTTGTCCCAGGTGCTGAGGTATAGATCTTCCTTTAGAAAGATTGGTATCATATGGCAAACTGACAGAATCTAAAATTCAGGCAGTGATCTGTTAATTAGGAGCGAGGTATAATGCCGTGAAACACTGCCTGCCAGGCAGCATTAACAGAATGAGCAATGCTTATTGGGCAACTTTCCAATTCAATATGCTGTCTGACAGAAACAGCATACAGAAAAAAGGAATGAACTGAATACAGCCTGCCAGACATTCTTCTAAACTAACCCTCCTCAACCTAGAATGGAGGGTAAGAGGGAGGATTCAAACACAGATTCTTGAGGTGAGGTTTAAAATCAGATTTGTTTATGGTCACACTGCCAGTCAAGTCAGTCTCTGAGGTCCAGCTGGTGGGTAGAACAGTTCAAATTTGTGCTTACCTTGCAGCAAACATTTGGAGTTTAAAAACTGCAGGTCACATATTAACATTTCACGGTTCTTGTGCCTGTCGGCCAGTGTACGAAGTTGGAAAGATGCCTGATAGACACTATCCACTTCTGTTAATGCTGGCTCCAGGCACCATTTCATAGGTTTTATTTCTACAGAACACTGCTCCACTTAACACTCGAGACCCCTTAATCACAACGTCCTATTCTTCACTATATAAACACCAACATTTATTTAAAATATTGCATATATATTCAACCAATGGCCTTCAGCAAAATTGAACATTGACTGATGGATAGGACTTACATTTACACCTTGCTCTGAATTAATGGATCAGTGGGCCTGAAGAATGGAAAAGAGCAAAAGTATTTCTGAAACGGCTCCATGCACTCTTGTCACTTGTCTGCAAATGTAATAACAGGATCTAATTTTCAGAGGTTCATGAAATGATTCATAAACATAGGATCTTGCATGTACCTGTGTTTCGCATGACTTATTGGAACTCTGCTTGGACCTCCATCTCCTGTTGATTGATGGGAAACTCCTTTAGCTGCAATCCAATTCCCAAATCAAATTAGCATCCAAAGCGATTTCCGTTAAGTCAGAATGAGACACATCTGGGGACATGCAGGATTCAGTACTACACATATCCCCAGAAATTAGACCCGAGGCCAAGATATTGTCACGGAGGTAACTTTCAGAGACAATGCATATTCTCTCCATCACCACTAAATCATCTCCTGACAGTTTTCTCACTGAATTTGGTAGATTTACCACTGTCCTGACCATCTTAAGCAAAGGCTAAGTCATCTTATTCTGTAGGTGTATGTGTCCAACTAGTAAAAAACAATGTACTGCTATTCTCTTTCCTCACACCTAACTGTCCTTAGACTACACAAATTAATGCAACAACTTCAAAGGTTTGATTTTCTTCTGAAAAAGAACATTTTTAACCCAACTTTCTTCTGAAACCTTGGATGTAGCTTACAAGATTCATGATTTTATAATCCACAAAATAGGAAACAAACGGTTAATTATATATCCATCTGCAACTTATGGAACGAAAAATAGAGACAAATACAAGTATTTATATCAATGTGAATGTTAATGATCTTGAACATAAAAGTAATGCAGACTTTCTTTTCCCCAAACTTAGTTCAATCTGGAATAATGATTGTTTAAAATCTGAAAAACAAAGTTCAGATTTCCAGCATCTGCAGTAATTATCATAATGATCGTTTAGTCTAGTTAGCAAAAAAGGAGTTATTTCTTAGAACGAATCAAATACTCATTAGTTGGATTTTACCTAAGATCTCGCTTTACAATACTTCACATAATTTTATCAAATAGCAAAAAGAACCACATTGTTTATGCTCTTCATTTTATGCATTGAAGCAATTACATATACAGACAACTATTTTGTGCCTTGATTAGTAACTGAAAGCAGCTCAAATGACTTCACACAGTCAATGAGCCATGTAGAACATGTAGACCATACTTTGCCCAGTCTTACTTTCTCTGGTATAAAGTTGCTGTCTTTGTCGTAAATGATGTACTGAGTACAGAATGACTGATCTGAGCCAGGATGAGCGTGGTAGGCTACAGTGTTGATGCTCTGAGTCACATCACTATCTGGCTTGGGCTGTCGGGCAAGGACCTGGCCACCACCAACTTTTACCAAGTCCACAAGGTCTTCTTTGACATGAATTTTAAAGCTGCCCATGAAATAGAAGTAGCAGCCGTCAAACAGTCCTGGCAGCTATCAAAGACAAAATAAAACAGTTTAGTGAAACAGGGCAGTGATGTGCTTTGGCATGATTTGTATAAATGCATTTCAACCAGTGTAAGCATTGGACCACAAGTACAATAAAAAAGTACACTACAGTGAATTACAGAAAAATAGTTTGACATTTTTACAACAAATATGAATATTTTTGAATCTAAATGGGCTGGAATAAAAATGACATGTGTTAATAAACATTGCTGCAAAGCTCAGTTAGTCACCCCAGGCAGACAATAGTAGGAATTTTGTCTAGAAAACTTTTAATTAAAATTCCCCCATTCTTAGTAATAAATCCCCATTTCCATTGATACACAATTCTACAATCCTGACTCTACCCCACAAGATGCTGTGGAAAACTGGATTATAATCAGCATTAAAACCAATGCTGTCTGCCACATTGGGAAAATGGGGATTCTTACAGCAATTTCCATACATGGATGGATTGCTCATTTCAATACCGTTGATGTGTCCTGATATTATTGATACTGTAAAACGTTAAGTAATGTAAGTGCACTACTGATTGGTACTATCAATTCTGAAATCAGGTACTTTAAAGGGATAAAGGAATCAATTTGAAAGTTTAAAAACATTGTAATTTATGTGACACAATAGACACATGTGGAGAATGCCATTGGGATAAATAATCTTTGAATTTTATACTCTGCCTTTCAGATCGGGAGGATGTTTCTCAGGATTTACTATGAAGTGGAGTGACTACTTGTGGGTGAACGCAGCAGCCAAATTTCCCCACAAATGTCTCACAAACTGCCATGAAGTGAATAGCTCATTTTATTTGAGGGATTGTTAACCAGGAAAGTGGGAGAAACTCCCTAACTCTTTTCAAACAGTGTTGTTTGTCACCTACAAGGCCATTCACGGCCTTGCTCCCTCCTACCTCTCCGACCTACTATCCCCCTACCTGCCCGTACCCTCCGTTCCTCTGGCTCCGGTCTGCTCCACATCCCCCGCCCCAACCGCACTACCATCGGTGGCCGGGCCTTCAGCCTCTCAGCCCCTAGGCTCTGGAACTCCATCCCCCAATGCCTTCACCTTGCTTCCTCCCTTTCCTCCTTCAAGGCCGGTCTCAAGACCTTCCTCTTTGACCGTGCCTTCAGCTCCCCTCTCGACTCTCTACCCCCTCCCTTCTCTCCCCTCACCCTGACCATTTCCCCCTTGTTCGGGTCCTGACCCAACTGTACAGCGCCTTGGGACGTCCTCCCGATGTGAAAGGCGCTCTATAAATGGAATCTTGCTGTTGTTGTCAATAAATCTGAACAGGCAGACAGGACCTCGGCTTAATCTCTTATTCAAAGGATAGTACCTCCGACAATACAACACCCCCCAGCATTGCACTGGAATATCAAATTAGATTATGTGAGTTAACGTCCCGACATGAAGATTGAATCAACCACCTTCTGACATAGAAGTGAGAATGCTACCACTGAGCCAGACTGATACACTGCACTTAAAAGGTGCAGTTACTTTAGTAGTACTGCATAGTATCCATCATAAAATAAATGTGTTACCTACCTGCTGTTGCCGGTTGAGACGTCCACATTTGGGGCCATTTGCACTAATTATCTCATGGTCTTCTTCAGCAACTCTGACCCCGTTCTCCAGGCAAGCAGTCACCCCTGACAATCAACAATGAAAGCATTACTAGAAAAAAAACTAAATAGCACATTGAAGCAAGGCAACCTGTGATTTTTTGTCAGTTTTCTTCCCAACTTTTACTCAGAAGAAATAATTGCACAATTGCTGGTTTTAATTATTATAGCTGTAGAGTGCAGTTCCCCTAATGTTTTCCATCTAATGCTCAATACAAACCAGATATTTAAAAAAATGCTCAGAACTATTAGAATAGCTATGCATCTGGTATAAAAAAATCTAAATGTCGTGGCAATCTGAGGTCCTGCAAGAAAAAAAGGTCACTGACACATGCTTTCTCAGCAATTGTTAACTTGTAATAACTCTAAAGTAATTTAACAACTTATGGGAGGAGATGAGAGGAACAGAAGGGACACAGCTCTTTATCACATCCATGGAAATGGATTACATCTTAAGTGCAACCAGCAACAATCCCTAAAAGAAACCTTTCACACAATTTAACTCTGAATAATCTGCCAGTTATTTAGGGCAATATATCATGTTTCAGACTATAAATTTATGAGGCTGAAGTCAACAAATAACTCAAAATGTCCAGGATAAACATACATTTCTAATTATTCAATAGTATCACTCATTTGCTAACAAAATTGTTTTCCATTAATCAGTTCACTACTTATAAAACCTGGCATCTCAAGGTTTTATATATCGTAATCTCTTCTGCAATAAGCATCCCAGGTTTAAATAACAATTTGCATGTATATGTAGCCGTCAGAAAGAATATATGAAACATTGTCCATGTCAATCGTTGCATTGGGAAACAAAGCTTTGCTCCAATTTTACATTCTAACCAGCTGTACGCGTTGCAGTTATGCTTGCAACCAAAGGATTCAATATGGAATGTAGATTTCAGTATTATTATACTTTATATTATACAATGATGGATCCCCCCTAAAAATATGCCCATGGTTTTCTCTGTCGCTACTTTTTGCAGAATATATTAGTATAGAGACATATCTCTAGAATGGTGTAGATTTCCTCTGTCTCTACTTTCTGCAGAATACCATGCAAACCTCATATTTTGGGTCTTAATTAAAGCATTCTTTTTTAAAAAATAGCTTATCAACGATAGGAGATCCCCGAAAACAAATATGCCCAATGACACTCCCAGATGCAAGACCTTTCCAATGAGGTATAAATCATGTCTATGTCAATTGGTTATTGGCTTGACACACACACACACCACACACACACATAGTTTTTATTAGTATAGATAAAGCTGCTTAGAATTCTAAGGATGAATACAGTCTCTTACTTTTGCTTTGAAGGTATACCCTTTTTTTCAACTCAAACTATTGTCTAACTACTGGAAAAAAAAACTCATGAAGTGGGCAAAACGAACAGCACTATTCCTCCTGGACTAAAAAAGTGTAAATTCAGCACAGATTATTTTCTCCAAATCAATATAATAAGACTTTGAAGGCAATAACTGGGAGAAGGATCTAGCTGAAACAACAAGATTACATTTGTATAGCGCCTTTCACGTCGGGAGGACGTCCCAAGGTACTGGACAGTTTACAGCATTTCAGACCTGAGCTGGGGTTGGGGGGCGGGGGGGAAGGGGGGTGGCCGATGGCATGGTCGAAGAGGAGGGTCTTAAGGCAGAACTTGAAGGAGCCTAAGGAGGGGGCGAGGCAGAGTGACTGGGGTTGGAATCTGGATTATCTGCAGCCTGTGGAGGGAGAAGTTGAGAAGGTCAACAAGCAGGACGTTTGCATAGTCTAGCCTGGAGGTGATGAAAGCAATGAACAAGAGTTTCAGCAGCCTGAGGGTAGAGGAAGTGGCGGAGTCGAGCGATGTTACGGAGATGAGGGAAGGCAGAGCGGGTCATGGCTTGAATATGGGGGAGAAGACAGTTGAGGGTCGAATAGGACACCTAGGTTCCTGTCTGGCTTGGTGAGTTGCAGTGTGCAACCATGGAGGTTGATGTTGCCAGAGCCTGAGGTGCATGAAAGCCTTGGGCATGGCTCTGGAAAGCTTACTTCTGTGTTGAACACCTCTGAAAGGCTAACTGAAACACGTCTCACCAGAATGTTAGACCATATATACATAGGAGCAGGATTAGGCCATTCGGCCCCTTGAGCCTGCCCCGCCATTTAATAAGAACATGGCTGATCTTCTAACCGAATTCCATTTACCTGCCCTATTCCCATATCCCTTAACCCCTCTCTCCTTTAGAAATCTATCAACCTCAGACTTGAAAATGTTCAAGGACTGAGCATTCTCAGCCTCCTGGGGTAGACAATTCCACAAATTCACTACCCTCTGAGTGAAGAAATGTTTCCTCAACTCAGTTCGAAAAGGCTGACCCTTAATCTTGAGACTATGACCCCTAGTTTTAGATTCCCCAACCAGGGAAACAGTTTCATGGCATCTACCCAGTCAAGACCCTTAAGAATCTTATATGTTTCTCTAAGATCACCTCTAATTCTTCTATATTCTAGAGAATATAGGCCTAGTTTACTCAACCTATCCTCATAGGTCAAATCGTCATCCCAGGAACCAACCTAGTGAATCTACCCTGCACCCCCTCTAAGGCGAATATGTCCTTTCTTAAATAAGGAGACCAAAACTCACACAATATTCAATGTTGGGAGTTTAATTCCAAGTAGCTTCCTAAACCACTCAAAATAGAGGCTGAATTAGACAAGTTGACAAGTGAGACAATTCATTGGTACTCAAACAATGGGTGCTGAGGGAGCACTTACAGAAAATAGATAGCAAATCAAGAAAAAAAATACATTAGGATATAGTCAAAAGATTATTATATACACAATAGACAGCTGATAGGCAATAACCTGAAATAAGTGGTTGAGATGTTTCTTTTAGGTGAAAGGCACCATATAAATTTAAGTTGTTGATGGGAGATATAAGAAAAAAAATGGATGACAAAAACAAACAGTAAGTTCACAGTAACTCACTGAATACATAAGAGAAACAAAGAACACTAGGGGTGGTCTGATAAAATGTCAGACAATAAGTTGCCCTATCTTTCTCTTTCAGGTCCTGATTGATCTGTGGTGGATTTCCAGTACTGACGTTTTATGTGAGTGCCTTTCTTATCAACTGCAGATAAACATCAACCAGATTTGTCAAGCCCCAGCACAGTATATTGGCTCAATCCAGCTTAGTCAGAAATACAGAACGCAACAGTGAAAAGCATCCCAACAGGACCATTGTCCAGGCTACAGTGGTGAATAGGTCCTACCGCAAGAAATCTGAATTCATCAGTATCTGCAGAATGTTGCTAACAAGAATTTTACCTTATTAAAATAATCAGCACAAAGAGGTCTAACCTTTCTGAATCCACTATTCACTTTATTTCAGCAGAATAGTGAAGTGATGGTAAGATTATAAAATCTTAAACATGCCTGAACCATAACAGTGCAGTGGGCTGGGATACTGTCCTTTAACTATGGGTCTTGGGCTTCAATTGGCGATAAAGCAGAAAGGATTAAGATCTCCAATATCTCATTTAGCATCCAAACTGAAAAGGGTTTAGCCAGTCAATCTATTTTCCAGTATTTCAGAGTACAAAGCACAAAATTACCCTTTAATCTAGGGAAATTGCATTTAGAGACAAACCAATGAAAATCAGGGAAGTCACACTAGCTGAGCAGGGAGATATAGTTTATAACAAATAATAATAATAATAATCTTTACATTTGATACAGTGTCTTTCACATCAGAAGGGTGCATTTACAGGATACACTGTAAAACATAGTGACTATATTTTGATGACAAACAGCTACTTTTTGAGTTTTTTTTTAATTGAGCTTCATTCAATTGGGTGGAAACCAGGAATAATAATAATAACCTTGCATTTCACATCGAAAGGCACTATGACACTTCACGGGATGTATATGACAAAGTGTAGTGACTGTGTGAACACAGTAGCCAATTGAACTCAGGAATATCCCACAAACAGCCATGAAGTCAATGACAACAACTAGCACTTATATAGTGCCCTTCACTCGGGATAGCATCTTGGCGCTTAACAGTAGCGAAGCTTGATGCTGAGCTAGGGAGTCCATTAGCATGGTTGAAGAGGAAGGTCTTCAAGTGTGATCTGAAAAGGGTCAAGAAGGGGGCAAAGTGGAGGGTTTGAGCCAGAGAGTTCCGGAGGCTTGGGGTGTAGTGGCTGAAAGCACAGCTACCGATGGCGGAGTGGAGGGGACAAGGGACGTGCAGGAGGCCAAAGCCAGCTGAGCGAAGCCTTCAAGGCGAGAGGGCTGCCAACTGAGCCAGAATGACACAAGAAAAATAAAGGCATTACTATACCCCATTCTTTACCTCAATGTACTTGCTCCTGGTTGTGCAATATTAAAATCCAAATTACCACACGATCGTCACTCTTATCTGCTCATATTTCTGTAGAATGATATGGTTGTGGCCTAGTGCCCAAGTCATTGTCACCAACATAAGGGGCCTGAAAAGGGGGCAATGGATGTTGCTTGAATTCTCTTTGTTCTAACTATTACTTCTCAGCTTTGTGGAGCTTTAACCATCTTTTTCAGCGTTACTTTAGGGTTTTTAAATTTGTATTCCTCATTAAATTTCAGTTGCATACTCTCAGTTATTCTTATTGGTTCCTGCAAATGAATAGCAAACAATTTGTCTCTCACAGCTTTGGTGCTAGAGCACCACAATGCCTTACATTAATTAAAAATCCTGCCACCCGAGCACACACCTTGACCATTCATTACTCGCATTTCTAGGACTAGGAGTTCTCCCCGGTCACTTCTGACGCAGACACTTGAGACCAAATACAGAGAGGATATTTTATGACTTGGATTTTATTTTGACACTGTGGGATTTGTGTCCGAGAGTCCGAGGAGATCATTTTGATCTCAGTAACACATTTAAAAAATGATATCAATAGATGTTTGCACGTTCAGTGTAATGTCACACCAATATAATTTTCTCTAGTAAATTCCTGACAACACTATCACTGCTACCAGAACAAGCAGACAGCAACTCAGTTTAACGTCTCATGCAAAGATTGGCAGTTTTAATAGTGAACTATTAGCTGAATTTATGTGCTGAAGCTTCTAACCTTCTGATCCCCAGGTAACAATGCTGCCAACTGAGCTAAACTGGTGCTTCTTACTTACCTTTTGCTTTTCATGTTCAGTGTGGCTCCAGTGCAACACAGACATGAATAAGGTAATAGTAGATATCAGAGCTTGTCAATCAATGCTATGATGCTTAAGTGATGGGCAAAATGATTTTTTTTTAAGTAAAATTAAATTTTGGAGATGTGGACCATTCCAGAAAAAATAAGCCAGATGGAAGATACAATAACAGCAATCAATTAGTTAGATAACCTTTGTGCTTCCAGTGAAATAATTAATAAACCAAGTATATTTGCGATTGCTTTTAAAATCTGATCCAAACGCAAAAGAATGAGCAAGAACGAGCAACGCAACACAATTCCTGGACTTGATGCTTGGTTTACACAAGTTACTTAGCATCAATGAAAATGTGAGTATTGTTATTTTGATCTGGAGATTACTTACACTGAATATTCAGTATCCAGCAGCCTGAGAGGATACCCATCAGACACTTCATGGTGGAGGGATTGTTGTCATTGGGAACAATTACATGAGTCACTTCAGAACAAAAAAAACACTTGGTTAAAACGATTTTACTGATTTTTTACAAAAAATTTTTTTTTATATATAACTTATTAACAAAGATTACTCGTTGTGAAAATGGGAGGCAAAGAGAAAGTAAACACCACGACATTTCAGACCCACATGACTTCAGTTGTCCTATAAGTTGGTATAGTTAGTGATGCATCTGAAATGAAAGAAAGTCTGCAGGAATCTGTAATATCCACCAAAGCCTAAAGATATCCAGAAAGTGCAGCGCCTTGGGACGTCCTCCTGACGTGAAAGGCGCTTTATAAATGGAATCTTGTTGTTGTTGTTGTTGTTGTTGAAAGTATTAATCAAGAGATGTAGCCATAGAATATCACAGCACCCCCTTAAACCTTTGATAACCTCAGATTAAACCTATTTGTTACATGTCCTATTTGATGCTATTTGGAATCCAATATGGTCTATGAATTATCTAGAACAGTAATAAATTTCTCTTGAATAGGGGAGTTTTTCTCTGGATAAATGCTGCGCCCATAAATTCATTACAATTAACTAGATTCATCAATTCATTCGTAATTGTACTCCCTTTTCTCTCAAATGTTATATGTTAATAAATTTAGTGTTGTAACTTACAACTGATGACATGAAATATTGAAAAACACACTTGTATGAATTATTTTCTGCCCAGGCTCCCATCTTGTATTTGGTTAACTTACATGAACCTCTCGCTTTCATTCTCATCAACTAAAAACTGCAAATGTAAATTGGCAGAAGACATCTCACACCACCAGATATTCAGGCAAATTAGTTCCAATGGTGAGTTTGTTTTCAGCATTTTGACTGGCAATAATCTGATAGCTAGAGGGTCATATATTAGTTGAGGGCATGGTAAGAGAAGGAGTGCTCAGTGTATTTGAAAGAAATGCCATTCATTATACAGCACCCGAGATTATTCGGTTTATTGCCCATTTCAATTCATGAAATAGTAATCCAATACATCATAGTATGAATCCTGGTTTCCACCACACACCAGACAATGCAATCAACTGAGACTATGCAAAAATAAAGGGCCTTTAGGTAGACCAAGAGTTGAATCTGTTGCAATAATAAATACCAGGCTCAACAAAAATAAATAGTTCTACAATATGCTCTGTCCGGTTTTCCTCTGTCCCACATTGTACATCATTCTGGTCAAAAAAGGGACAGCTAAGAAATCCACAAGAACAGTTTGGGGCAACTAACTAATCAATCAATAAGCTGAAGCCCTGGGGTATAGGAAGCATACAGCCTCTCGATACAGAATCTTATTTAGTGAGATCAGGAATTCACTACGTGGAGAATTTGTGTGTTTAATACTGTGTTAAAGCATTCAGTAGTAACATCACACTAGAGTTCTAATGAGGCCTTGTATCTCTTATATAGATAGAATTTTCAAGTTTTTATTGCTTGAATAGGTTGGTTACCCCTGCAAGTGCTACATAACTAAGGTGTAACCTAAACATAAACAGTGATAAATAATTAGAATGCTTTCTGGTTCCACCCCCCCCACCCCCCACCACAAAATTACCTGAGCTACTGAAGTTGGTGCAAGTCCCAGCCTTAAGAAGTTTGGCTAATTTCTCAAGCTTTTTCTTGAGGTTTGAATGGAGTCCACTTCCCAGCAATAGTATGGGACCATCTCTTCTCTGGCTCATACTCACCTATTCATTGAAATGACAATAAACAGGACAGCTTTAAGTAGAACTCTTCCACATTTATTTGAAAGATTTTTTTTATGAATAAGAGTTAAAGAATACTTTAGCTTACCATCCAAGCTTATCCAGTCAGTAAGTCAGATGTTAAAGAGCAGGACATTAACAATGATCAAGAGAGAAATTGAGGTAAATTCTATTCACTTAGACAAAAGTGAGCCACATCGCTGCTGTAGCAAAAAATATTTAACTCTTCTGGCAAAGTACAAGCACAATAAATGCTGATACCAGCAAGAACCTCAAGTTATACCTCTCAGAGTAGCCAAGGAATGAGCGTGTACTGAATGTTAATTCATCTTTAAATGGTATTAGGCTTCAGGGTTAGAAATGACTGGTCTCTCAGGCAGTTCAATCATGCTAACGATTAATGAATTTAAGTAAACAATTAATGATTCGACAATACTTCTGATGAATGGAGATGGAAATGGTATTAAAGTATCCATAAAAAGAAAACAGCAATAAAAGGCATTTTGATTATTATGAATTATTAATTAATAGTTCCTGGTACCTAATATCCCCAATATTTTAAAAAAAGGTTATGCACAATACCAGTATAGCCCAGTTATAATGCGGTAATTGGAGATCAAAAAATTCCACCCAATGTTATAACAGGGCTCAATTGGCATCAGCATTTCTACAGCGTAATCTCACTGATGAGGAACATTGATGTCAATGCACATGTGGGCACAAACCCAGCCGGCTTTCCACATAGTTCATCTTCAACACCACTTCTTGCTTGTTGCTTTTCTGCAGCACATATAAACTGTTGTCAGCAGCCATCTGATGACCTGGAAGTTGATTTTTTTTAGCATGCAGGAATCCGGCCTGCATGGAGAAAGCTGGCACCCACATTATAAACAAATTCACGTTAAAACAAAGGACATTATAAGAGGATTCTATTTCAAAATACGCACCACAAAGGACTGATCAGCACGAAATGAAGCTTCATCTCCAGGCGAGTGCTGTAGAGCGGTAATCATCTCTTCAGAATCTGCATAATCGACGGGCCGCAAACCAAAGATATTGCTGAGGAGACAATTTAAGGTGAACATTTCTTCAATTTAGAATGTAAAGGTCATATTCCTAAAAGGTTCAAGGTGAAATGTGGGTATTTTTTCATGATCAAACACCATTCATTCAAAGTAATGCTTTTCACAAAAACTCACCCATATAAATTCCACAGAATTAATCTTGATTCACAAATATATTGACTCAAGACTGGAAATGTTCCATATTCACAAGTAAGTCATTATAACCAAAGCAGCTAAGAAAAAGCATTCTCAACATTGCAAGTACAGTACATAGATACAAGTTCTTTTTTATATAGATGCTTCTATCCCCTCTTCAAAAAATGTAAATAGAAATAAACAAAATGGAATTCATATTTTTTTCTACCCTGGAACTCCGTCTGGTGTCAATGAAACAACATAATCCGCTCCAGGCATCACTCTACCTATTGAGAGTGTCTGACATTGTACAGTGCTATTCTCAGTTCAGGTACACCGTGAAGATGAAATCTCACAATTCTCATCAGACACAGCATGATGTACATTGACAACAGTGAGCTAAAAGGGTAGGATTTTCAAAAGCTTCTGAAAATCATGTTCAGTACAATTTATCTGACACAAATAAGCATAGGCTATTTTTGAACAACCAAGAAATATTGCACACATTAGTGCAGCTTAGAATATGGAAAGTTATTACACTAAACAAATGGAAATCTTCAACAGTAAAAACTCACAAGCCAGATACACATTTGACTGAAATCTAACGAGATGTCAATGCTAAAGGAAACATTCACTTGATCAAGAAAGACTTGCTTAATATCAAAGACAAACACCATTCAGATGAAAGAAAGCCCTTTATCAAGATTGGTCTCATTAGTGAAAACTGGTAAAAACATGCCTTCGTCACAGAAGGACAAGTTAGTGTTGGGAGTGCAGAATGTCAATTAACATAAGCCAGTGTCTAATGAAGGGCAGCCACTTTAGAAGTTTGGTTCAAATCAAGTTATTACTGTGATTACTGTGCACATAGGAACACATATAAACATATATTTCCAAATTGAACAGATCTATTCTCAGATTTCAAACTGCTCAAAATAATGAGTTTGATGATTTATTCTTGTTCTATTTTCGTTTCCAACCCCTCACTGCACAAGCTGGGTTAAAATAGCAACCCAGCATATGGAGAGGACCTGCGTCCTGCAGCTCCGGGGTGGGTCAGCTAAATGCCCCTATTTCTTTTTCATATTCTATACATTGTTCCCTTGCTATTTGTGAAAGCACACAAATACACTAACATGATTTTATATGACACCTTCGAGTAGTAACAAATAGATAGGCATACATTTTAAAGGTGCAAGTGAGTTGCTTTGTGAATTTACCTAATGTTCAGTTTAGACATTATGAAAACTAGGGATAGCTGTGAATGATCATAGCTAAATTCATTCAGATCTTCGTTGTGACAGAAATCAATTCTTATTGGGATTCATAGCAAATTTCAACTTGACAGATGCTTTTATAATAGAACTGGTTTTAATGACGTTCAATTTTATTATTTGGAGAAAGGATAATCATGCTCGTTACAGAGCTAGCAAACGGTTTTATATTAACATGCTCATGTTATTTCATTCTGCTCCATTAATTACCAGCCACACCTTCAGGAAGTTTTGGTTCTGGATTCATGTTACTGTCAACACCTTGAAAGACATTAAATTGTGGCCTGACTATACACTACCTACGCAGTGTGACTTTCTAAGGACTCTCTGGGAAACTGCGTATCTGACCTCTATGCATCAGAGATGGAAAAGTGCTAATGGTCTAATTTGCAAGAGCCACTGGTGTCATAGGCTGCGCTGCAGCTATAAATTGACTGGAGTCTAGAAGGAAGATTAGACAAGGGTTTCCATTAATTAAACCTACAGCAAAACAAATGAAACAATACTATCATCCAATTACGTTTTTTCAATATGAGATTTGTAAAGAAATATTTTATAACCTGTTGAGAAGTCAGTACTGTTTAAAAATGGAAGCACAACGTAACCATAAAAAAATTGTACAACTATTACAGTTCTGTTTCAGCTTTTGGGTTAATTTATAATAATAATAATAATCCTTGCATTTGATATAGGGCTTTTCACATCAGGAGGACATCCCAAAGCGCTTCACAGAACACACTGTAAAGTGAATTAACTGTATATTTGTGGGCGAACGCGGCAGCCAATTGCGCACAGCAATGTCCCACAAACAGTCGTAGATTGAAAATGACCAATTTATTATTGTTTTAGTTTTGGAGGGATTATTCTTAGGCGTGTGGAGTAAGGAAACTTGCCCAAGGTTTCGCCCTGCCTGGAATTGAACTCAGGTCTCTCGCTTGCAAAGCGAGTGCTCTAACCACTGAGCTACAGGACTACAGGAATAGTAGAACTAACAATCGCTCAGATTTCAAAGTTCGTAGAAAACTGCTCCACCATTTTGAACACAACAGAAAAATAAACACAATCACTGTGGCAAAGGGGGTTTGAATGAGGTGCCATTGTTTTTCCGTACTTCACATTCCTATGAGATACATCCAACAAAGTGATCAGCAATAGAAAACCCACAAGAAAAAAAAACTTCTTTTAAAATCAGTTTTCATAAAAAGCTAAGAACTGCTAAAACATTGGAGAAGAGAGTAAAGAAGAAACTTGCCTGCTCTTTAACATTAGGACATGCAGCTTTAAAGACATTAATAAAAATCTGGTTGCAAGAGATTTCCTAACTCAACTTCCTAGACAGGACAAAAAGAATAAGCTGTAATTGCTGCACGTACAGTAATTCAAATCCTCGGCCAGCAAATCATGTTGGCAGAGCAACACTCTTGGGAATTCACACAAAATGTAATACTTCATCCTACTTGAGTATCAAATACTATAATAATACTGAATCTTTGCTATTTGTTAGAAGATTCTTTGCTAGCTAGCAATGTCAGCGTACTTTAAAAGGTGTCCAAAAGCTGAAAAGGTATTCATAAGCCAGAAGTGTTGAGTGTTGTCTGAAGAAGCAAATATTAACTGTACAATGGGTCGATTTGATCCAGTATTTTTGGAGTGATCTCCACATTTTCAAATTGGCAATTACAAAAAAGAGTGGAGAAAGAGCATTTTTCAGATTCAATCACAAAATAACAGGAGGTATCTAAATTTTGGAAACCAAAACAGAGATTTCTTGAATATCTATTTGTATGAACTCAAGTATAGAATAAACCTACATTCGGTGCAGCAGACTACAGAGATTGTAGCTTCCAAATAGATTCAAGAGGGAAATAGAGGAATACAATCATAGTTTTTGAATAAAGCAACACTAGCTAGGTGCAGGATAAGTACCGGACAAAACTATTGAAATGTAGGACAAAATACAGTCAATCCACTTTACAGTATATCCTGTGAATTACTTTGAGATGTCTCAACGACCTGATAAGGTGTTATATCAAATGCAAGGATTATTATTAACAGGCGAGGGCAAACAAGGAAAGACCAGAAACATTCAATCATGAGTTACATTTTAACACTTCTCATCAGAGTTCATTGTGTTTCCTTTAGAATTCCTACTTTATTGTAAAGCATTTTGAAGTCCTAAAGAGGCAAAGGGATGGATTAGCAGATGGCTACAGTAGTTTCAAACACAATATACAATAGTTATGTGTCCAGGGTAAACTCTTGTTATTTTCATAAATGTATAGGTTACATTTATATATATAAATGTGTAGGTTGGTTTCTTGGTGGTACTGACTTGACACATCCTGTAAATTCTGTTGAGCTGCACAGCTTGATGGGTTATTATGTAACTCACAAGCTTCATTCGTTAGATTACTAACACACCGTGGCTTCAAATTCTGACATACGCTTTTCAATCAAATTTATTGCAACAGTTCAAACTTATTAAATGACTTATGCTGTGTTTAAGGCTATAATTATAATAATTAATTTAACATTGTTCCGCGTTCCTGAAACCCCTCAGCAGCTAATGAACAGAGATTTGGCACATTTCCAACACTTCATGCCTGCACTCAGATTAAACCCCATTGTTAAAGCACAGCAAGGCATCACGGGTATTGGAGCCATTTACTACTGTCTTGTGGCTTGGAGCTCCGAGTAGATCATCAATGCAGTCGGTCAAGCATTTACACAATCATTAACACTTCCATTCACACTATACTTGNTTTTTTTGCTCTCAAGTCAATATTTAAAGACAACTATCTAGAGCCCTATTTCACTCCATTTTAAGTAAATACCATTTCAGTTTCCAGCCTTTAAAGCAATGTTATCCACTCTTAATAAGGAGTCGACCTTTTTTAGAGAATGATTTTTTTGAGAAAATAAAATCAGAACTTAGACTGATAAACAAATATTTCGTAACAGTGGAACCACCCTCTGTTAAATTAATTTATCATATTTTTGCTGAGCAACATACAGCAGTGCATTTACTGTTCTATTTCACAGCAGGGGGATCAGAACAAAATAGGAGTTAAATCACCATTATACCTGAGTACCCCTTGTAAAGGGCGTATCTCATTCTGTTTGAAACCATTGAATCTCCCATCAGGTTTATATGGCACCTGGTCCCTGAAGCACCACAAGTTATGCATCAATAACTAGTCCAGTGGAGGCAAACTGTGTCGCACAATGGGGCAGAAAACCAGCAGGGATTTGAATTGGATTCTTTACTGGAAACGTGATTTGCAGCCGGTTTAAAAGAAAGTCGGCAACATTTGCATTGAGCAATGTAATTCAGTAGCAATTTTCTGAAAACTGAATTCCCACTGCTGTAGAAAATGGAGCATGCTTCAGTTTGCCACTCAAGTCCAGAGTATAATTTTGTTCTTGCACACAGTGACAGCTGCCTCTGTTAGCTATAAGTCAGTTTAATAAGATTTAATAGACCTACAATGGCCTAGAAGATTGCTATAATAGGTTAGGGGGTCAGACCCAATAAACCTGAGACTCAAGGCTGGACTATGGGAACTCTCTCCTCGCCGGCCTTCCC